AGGGTAATGGGTTAAACGGTCACAGCTCCAGGGTATTTGAGGATTTGCAGTGATATGACATGACAGAATCAAAACCAGAAAGAAATCGCCAAAAGATATTCGAACTTATCAAACCATCAGATTAATCACAGTGCCCAATGCCGCTTATCTAGAAAAAAAGCCGTCAATGACACCGCTACCTAGCGGATAGACGGCGGTTCGTCAAAGGCTACAAGAGAAAGGTTTGATAGTAAAAAGCAACGCCTGACGAAATTCGGGAATCCGCCTATAGGAAATCCACCAGGCTGCGGTAAGCCCTGCCAGCTAACAACAAAGCCTCCTGCACTATGACAACACGAATAAATGAGTCTCGGAACCCTTGGTGTCTTTCGAACCGACCTGTGGTAGCGGTTCCGTGTTAGACTGATTAAAGGTTGCTAAGGATGCAATGTGACATCACGAAAATGGACCTGAACTTCCATCACAGTTTCCACCTACACTTGTGACGGAAGAAACGTTCAATCAGCTAATGGAAGATCAGGGAAGGTCTGCGACTTCTTTGCCTCTTCGAGACACGATGACCGAGGGCATCTGGAAAAACGGTAGCTCGATTTGGCTAGAAAGAAGAGAATGACGATTAACACAGAAGGAATGAGATCTGTAGTCAGCAAAAACCTGGTTCTACAAAACGGTCTCCTGTCCCGTGATGTCACCATCATAGGCCGTAAAAATGAACTAGAAGAGCACCTTGAAAATCGTCCAATCGATGCTCATAGAAGTACAGTCGAAAAGGAAGAAGTGAAATAATCCTATGAAGAACTAAAACTTAGTCCCAAGCTCCACATGTACCCTCATCACTGTTGACTTCAATGAGAAAGTTACATGAGGAAGGGATCGGTGGTGGGTATGGCATTGAAGAACGAAATGAGCGAAGAGATGCGCTTGTAACCAGGGCAGTAACGACACACGTGTATATTCTCAACATCTGGTTCGATAAGACCTAGAAATGGCTGACATGGATCGCGTTCAACGTGGAAACGAAGAATGACATCGACTTCGTTCTGTTTGATAAACTCAACATCATTCGAGATATACCAATAATGAAATCATTTAACACCGGGAGTAAGTACAGAATGATAAATTTCGGAGAGAAGATCCAAGGAAGGCACTTCAGATGGCACGTCGCAGAGAACCATCGAAGGCATTCGAAAGGCTGTGCTACAAAAGCCCGTTTTCAAGGAAGACTTGAAACTAAAATGCATAAGCAATGATGGCTAAGAGAAGTTGGATGAGAACCAGAGGCGAGCGTAAAGTTAGTTGAAGTAGTAACATCAAAACAACAAAGCGAATGATTTCTGAGATTCGTTGCCGATTACCAGCCGGTCTAAGTAATTTTCACAAAAAAATCAACCTACGCCTTTTCAGTAAAGAACGCAAAGGAATATGGCAGATGGTAGCACGTAGGAAGTGCAAGACTTACACAGTCCTCTGATCACCCAAGCTATGCTCATGATTATAGACAAATGATAATTCTCAGGTTCTGGGGTAGCTAACACATAGTAGCTGTTCATTCCACCGGTAATAATGTTTAAATTTCTGACTACGGATTGACTAGGTACAAGCCATAGACTCCTTGCTTCTAGTAGCCAACGTCTAGGAAATTCGGTAATAGAAATCGAAATGTTACGGTCACAAGCAGAATATGAATGTTACTAAGTTGCAGCCACCCAGAATATCGCAGCTATCTCTTGCCCCTGAGTAGTAGCAGATTTAATTGATGCTCGAAGGTGCCGTTTTTCAGCACAACCCAATGATGCAATCCTGTATCCAACATGCTGTTTTTGCGCAAATTCCATGTAGCAAGTGCTAGCATAAATGGTCTCCTTAAACGATTAGAAGTAAGGAGGAGCGCACTTACGTCGACTAAATCTGATGTCGGAAATTTAAATGTTTATCGCGATCACCACTATGACTGGTTTACATAAACCGAATACCTCTGATATGTAATATCCAAGATATTTTCAGCTTTAACTAACTTTTGCAACAAAGCACGGTTACTGAACGGTAGAAGAAACAGTTATTCTCAAAACGCAAATTTGCCTTAACGGTTATGATTATTATACATACAATAGTGAAAGTTTTAATAAAAACGATAGCTCATTTTCTGCTAACTTAAATTCTGATGTTTATACACTAAGTATACAATAACTGCGCACAATCAAGCGTGTGACAGAACACTTAAAAAGAGTTATTTATGCTTAAATAGACTTAAATAGGCAATAACTATTTACCATTATGCAAAATAATACTGCTGCTGTTTTTGATGGCATGGTATTCTAAGATATGTGGAATAACGAAAGAACGAACAAG